TTGATAATAGAAAATAATTTTTAGTGTGGTTGTAGTTTTAAAATTTTTAATTTTAATTTTACCGCTTATAAAAATGGAAATTAATCAAGCATAACCATCATTCAATAGGGTACATTTCCCCTTAGTCTCTATTTTGAAAATTTTATGTCCCCAACTTTTCTAAAAAGGATAATGATAAATGGGTTAAAAGTTTTAAGACTAAAATTTAGAATCAATTACTTGTATAAATTACGTTATTTAAAATACTAAAAAAATAAGTCATATATTATTTAATAATTAATTTTTTTAATTTTTTTGGATCTATAATATTATATGCATTAATATATTTAATAATATGACTTATGTTATATCCTTAATCTTAAATTTTCATATTTTGTATCACTATTCTTCTAAAAAAGAATGCTTAAAACATTAGTTTGGATAATATAACCATCAATATATATAGGAATCATTAAATTAAAAAAAAATTTAAAAAAATTTGTTTAATATCTTTTAAAATTTTAAAATTTTGCTTTTGTTAAGTCTTTTTTTTTTTAGTCATATTCTCATAACAATTACAAAAAAACTTGGGGGGAAGAAATTTTCAAAGATTAATTCTGAAGTGATCTCCAATGAAAAAAGAAACTTAAAAAAGGACTAAAGTGATGATACGAAACAAACTATTTAATGATAAAATTGATAAAAGAAAAGCTTAAAGAACAAAATTAAAAATTTATTATAAACATTTTAGGTTCTGCTCGTCTTTTTAATAAAAATTCTGAGTTTTGCGATCTTGTCTGGTGAAATCTTTACAGTTTGTTGGTTTAAGGGAGATGCATATTTAACTATCTTCTCTAATTCTTATTTTTCTGTTGTGCTAAACTAATATTACTATATTAGCTCCATTGATCAAATGTGGGATGATAAAAATTATCGAGTTGATGATTGGGCTGGTGGGGCTTCTTTTTCCACAGTAGGGCTAATTTCAATTCAAAATTATAGATAGGATTCCATCATGGAATTGTTTTACTTGATTAACATATGCTCTTAAATAATTCGTGGATGCCTTTGAACTGAGATGTATTAATTGAATTTTTTTGCTCTATTTTTGTAAGCTTTCTTCTTTATTCTTTTCACTTGATTACTTTTCCATTTAACACTCTGAAAAAAGAAAGAGTTAATAGTAATCTGAGTTTCTAAATTTTTGTTGTATGTTTTTATTAGTTGGGCTAGTGATGCTCTTGATCCTAGAAGTGATGAATTTGGAGATCATGTTGCATATGTAGAAGCTGACAATAATTGCTATTAGATTAGAAGAAGTTGTGGCGGTGAAGAACAATCTCGAGATTATGAAGAATAAGTTGAAAGCATATGAAGAAGAAAGGGAGAAGAAAACGCAATGCAATGAAAGAATTCAAAGAATGATTGGAAAATTTGAAGAAATGTGACGTACACAAGCGGTCATACGTTCAGATGAAGAGTGGCAGCTGGAAAACATTTACATACGGATACCGTCTTAATTAGTTATCTCTTAGCATTTTTAGACTTTTTAGTTGTTGATGCACTTCTTTGTTATATTTGAAGTACAATTATATAACTTCTGTTCTATTTTAATTAAACATATAAATTAAGCTTACAATTTTTATTAAATTATATTTTTTGTTGCATTCTCTTTGCTGTCATTAAATTAGAAATTATTAAAACAATTAAATGGAAATTTTAATTGATGAATAAATAAAAGTAAGCTTTTAAGGACGTTCACCTCACTAAAGCAAAGATATGGGGGATGATAACCTACCTAGCTTGCATTCCTTGGGGACACTATTGTCTACAAAACTATGCTTTTATGGGACATGTCGATGCTAATGGTTTTAGGGATATTCCGTCCCCAAAGACTTTAATGGTTTTTGTGATGTGTTGCGCCCAAAGGTTTCGATAACATGTCGTACTAAAAGATTTTGGGATGTATCGTCCCAAATGGTTTCGGGAATGCTACATCCCCAATAGATGTGTTGTCCCCAAGAGTCTTCTTAGGGCACAATACGTCTCCTAGAGTATTGGGCATGAGACGTTCCAAAAATACAATAATGCAGCGTCCCTAAAGGGTTTTTGGAACCAAAATCACATCCCAAAACCTTTAGCTAGGACACCTTAGAGAACGACCATGGGATGCAAAAGTTTGTCCCCCATGCCTTTGCAATTGACTTTTAATGCCTATGGGG